TGCAACCATCCCTTAGCAGCCAGATGAACTCTCCCCAAATCGCTGCGAGCAGGGGTGGCGTCAATCCGGAGCACCCTGCTGTAGTACCAGGCTCTCTAAATTTCTTTCTCTTTAGAAGCACTACTGCCGGTCGTGCCGTGGTGGGAGCCATAACCGGCAGCAATCCCACCTCGACCTCGTGTCGGCTCAGCCGGGCAGCATCCCTGCGGCTCTTCTCCAGGAGAGCAGGGCTGGCTGCACTGCCAAGACAGCCAGAGCCCCGGGGGTTCACTGGGTACAATCCTGCGCACCCCAGAATGTCACAGGTGATGGGAAAACCTGGGTGATCCTAGAGCTGGAGGTAGCAGATCTGGGAGCCACGCGGCCCGAGAGTGTGAGTGTATGTACGGTGTTACCTTCAGAGAACAAATACAGGTAGGTCAATGTACTCTCTAGTGTCTATGTACATGCAGGTTTATTTAAGTACACATATATACAGTTCAGATATGGCATTGATTCTTTATTGCATTAAGATGTACATTAAAAATGTACACTTTTACTAACTACTTGCTATATAAATATGTTGGAAGTGTAGTTTGCCCATTCAAGGTGATTTTCTGTGGGATTTTTGATGTACACTTAAAGGCCTATGGCTAATTGGAAGAGTGATCCCCGCTCCATCTACAGAACTGCTTAAGGACTATGGTGTGAACTGGTCCCTTCGAACCATTTTTCCACGCACTAGCTGAAATTTTTTGCACTTGGATTGTATTTGGCCAGTTTTCCAGAAAAAATGAAAAGAGAAGTCTTGTGAGCTAGAGGGAGAATTTCCCGGTGTACACAGAAAAAACAGCCTTGAGGGTTGGAAGCTGCTGAGGTTTTTGAGCTTTGTCTCCATGCATTCATACAAGCACAGCAGGAGTTTTCTTTTCTTTTGGGTCAGAGGAATTTTAAAAAGTGATTCCATGCAGACTCCCCTCGGACGCGGCGACGGGGCTGGCAAGCCCCATTGCGTGGGAAGGGTAAGATTTAGAGGCAAAAAAAATCAAAAAGTAATCGAGTTCCCTTTCCAACTCCTACATTCCTTGATATCTGCATTTTTTTAGTTGACTTGAAATCTCCATGAAAGTATAAGAAGATTTTTGGGGGGGTTTAGCTCTGTGGCCCTCTGTTTCTCTATCGCATCGTTTTTGAAGCTGAGGGAAAGCAGGTGTCATCTCCCAATAGACTCAGGTTTTGGTGCAGGACGTGAGAAATGTGTTTGCACCTGAAACTGAAAGGAAAAATTGAGAGGTGGCTTGACAGTCCTAGCAGCAGCTCTTTAGGCGTTAAGAGGAAGTGTCACCACAATTCTATGCAGCGTGTGAATATTTATTATCATCATCTAATCAAAGATGACTATCTTGACTTGAAAGGAGGGGTGTGAGAGAGAGGTCACGTAGCCAACATCAGTAAGGAAGGGAAATTAAATTCCTCACCTCCATCTGCTGTGTGTGAGCTTGGGCTTGACAGGCGCAGTAGTAACCATCATTTTTAATCCATGTGAATCTTGTTACTTATGTCTCTGAGGCTGCTTAGATTAAGGGCACAATCCAATTGCTTAATAACCTGAAACCCTGATTTGTGCTGTAGCCGGCTGGCTCAGGCAAAGGGCTGCTGGTTCTCCTGATGCAAGGAGCAGAGTTACTTTATTCATTATCAGCAGGCCCTGCCCTAAGATTTCTTGACATGGCCCTGTGTTTCACTTGGGTAGCTTGTTTTTCAGCTCCTTAATTAGCACCCTGGAAATCATTCTTATTTTTCTTTTTAGCAGAACACTAAACAAACGATAATTTGTAGGCTCCTATTTCCACTTGCCCGAGAGCTGAGCGCTGCTGCACATCAGGCCCGCAGCTGTGGCCAGAGGTGCTTGCTTTGGTGCATGGCATGCAGCGGTCAGCGAACGCCCGCAGAGCTCCGGCTGCAGGTATTTAGTGCAGCTGCACGTCCCCTCCCTGCCAGGGGCTTGTGCTGGTCACCACAAGAAGCCACCAGCAAAACCAGTAGCTGCTGGTAGCTGTGATGAGAAACCCTGTGGTCGGCCCACAGCTGAACGCAGAACCTTAACCTGCTGGGGCGATGCTGGAGTTGCAAGATACCTGCTTGATTAATTTTTGCTAGGTGTCCCCTGCCTGTTCAGGAGGAAAAGGAGGATGTAGAAGGCTGGTTTTCTATTTAGGGTTTTGGGTATAAATTTTTTTGTTTGTTTTTAAATGAAAAGCAACAATATCTGGTCACAGGTAGAAGTCTTATATTGTGTGTTCCCTGCAGCTCCCCTCTTAGAGACATTACAGAAGCAACCTGATCGGAAGGTGATGTTTGGAAGCTGGGTCACTGAGAATCAGAAGAGAAAGATGATTTTCAACACTTAGACACAAATTAGAAAGTTAACATGATGCTGCACCTTCCCGTCAAGTTGATAGTATTTAAAATGCTTGTAAACTTCTCTCTCCTATAGCCCAGATAATTCTGGTTTCGCTCTTTTCAAATCAGTCGGTGGCCTGATGTGATTCAGCTCGCTGCAGTAACCTCTGTTGTAATTGCTCCGTTGATCCGAAAACCAGGAGGGCGAGATTAGGTAGCGCTACAAATGGAGGGGGGGATGAGACACTTGCAAGCTATACCCTTTTTTTTTTTTTTTCAAGTTTAGTTTCTGCTGTATGTTTTACTGGCAGTGGTCCCTGCCAGGAATGCTGGATTGGCATCGCAGAACTTTAAAGCAGAGCAAGGGAGCTCTGTTACCTAAGCAGTGATTTTTTTCTTTTTTTATTTGTTTGTTTGTTTTGTTGTTATTGCCTGTTCCAGTAAAGAGTGCTCTGTCGGCTGACATTGGCCATATTTTGATGGCACAGTTAAAGCCACGTTTTCCCTGTACTGATGAAGGGTGGTATTAGGAGGACTCTTGCTTACTGGTGCTAGTGAAGGTTGGGTTAGGAATCCATGGCATAGAAAACTTCTTGCTAAAATTGCACTTTCTCTCTGCCCCATCTGGCTCGTGGTGGTGTTATGGGTACGTGGCTGTGATTCCCCTTGCACATACTAACATTGCACTAAAAGAGAGACTTTGGGAACAGCGTGTTGATCACTTTGTTTCTCAGCAGACCACAAAGTCAGCCTAATGGGGTCTCTTTTTTTTTTCTTTTTTAATTATTGTTATTTAGAAATCATGCTGGTGCTGAATGACCTGGAATTTTTGCTTGGATTTATCCAAAGGAAAATGTAATTGTAGCTGCAACGGGACCTTTCATAAGGGTGGCCGTGCAGCTGGGGAGCAGAGCAAGGGCTCTGCTGTGTAAACCGTCTTTGTACCGGGGAGGTGTGGGGGGTTCCAGTGGGGTTATTATTGTGTTTGGTTTTTTTTAAGACCACAATTTTAGATGGTCACCTTGGCAATCGTGTGAGACAGGAACTAGTTTTTACTTTTGGTAAAGGTTTTAAAGAGAAAAAAAAAAAATAAGTGAAGCTGCCTGTGACTGTGGGCTGTGGCTATTACTAGGGCTAGGGTAGCTTGTACCTGCTATGGACTTTACCTGCTCTTATTCTGAGGGCAAGAACTCCCTGTAGCAACAATGCCACTTCTGAGAAGTGAACGGCAAGTTTCCCTTCCTTTTGTATATGTGGATGTGAGGGTGGATGAGGGAAGAGCTTGCTTGTACAGTTTGTTGAAATGAAACCAGACATTTTTGGTTGTTCCTAAATAAAGAGCATAAAAGACAAACGTGAGTCGAGTGGTGATTGCCCTTGGGTTTGGGGAAGCCCACGGTGATGCCCTTATTGCCTGGTGCTACCGGTGAGCAACAGCGAGAGCTGCCCCGTGCATGGGGCTGGCTGTGCCCTGCACCCCAGCTGCTTGGCTGGGAGCGGGGAATACCCAGTCACAACCCTGCCATTTGTTTTAAAAGCACAACTTACCTGCAGGTAAGGCCATGAGTGAGTGACCCGGTAGCATGCTGAAGCCCAGATACCTCCCTCCTAGGAGCCCTTCTGCAGCCTGGAGTAACTGCTTGTCCCCAGCCCGGTTCAGAAAAGCACGGTCAGCTGTAGCACACTCTCTTGTTTTACCCGTTTGAGTGAACAACATTAAACCTGGGGCTGCTCCTTGTTAAAGCTGGGCAGGGACCTTTTTGCATGGGCATTTAGTGATAGAGGGGCACTGGCTTTAAACTGGAAGAGGGAAGATTTAGATTAGGTATAAGGAATAAATTCTTCACGGTGAGGGTCGTGAGGCACTGGCACAGGTTGCCCAGAGGAGTTGGGGATGCCCCATCCCTGGAAGTGTTCAAGGCCAGGTTGGATGGGGCTGTGAGCAACCTGGTCTGGTGAAAGGTGTGCCTGCCCATGGCGGAGGGGTTGGAGCTGGGTGGGCTTTAAGGTCCCTTCCAACCAAACCATTCTATGACTTACCCCCCGCCCAGTAGCTGCAAACTCCCTAAAGCCAGGAGGAAGGAGGGAGCAGTGCATCCCCCCCAGGCAAGGCTGCACCCCGATTCCCTCCGACAGCACCAGCCAGGTCAGCAGG